AGTTCTCAGACGATATTTTACACGCGTCGTCGGCTAGATTTGGTTCGGTTCGCTATTGCAGACAAATTACTCAGTACTTTGTTGATTTTGATTTTATTTAATGCAGGACGTTTTGGGTGCCATAAAATAATGACCTCTCGCGCCAAAGTGCGTTGACCCGTCTATGGTGTAGTGATTACAATGATAGGCTCTTGTTCCGGTGGTGGTGGGATGGATTCCCGTAGTTAATAGCCTACCTCCATACCAAAACGGGTGGCACACGCAGTCGCAAAGAAGTCCCGCAAGTCTTTTGGCGGCAAAACCAGTGTTGGGCGTTAATCAATTAAATTTCAATCAATAATTCAATCAGATTAAAAAATCAATTCAATTGAAATCAATTGCGCAATTGATTTAATTGCAATTGATTGAATATTATGTTCTTAGTTTAATGAGCAATATAGTTTTTTTTATAATTTTTGTAAAAAGGAGATTGTAGGTAGTTTATATGAATTTGATATTTATGCATGTGGGTAAACTGAATAAAGTACAGAACAAGTTAAAGTAGTCTTGATCCAGAACTGGCGTTTCATTGTTGCTCCCAACCAACGAGTACGTTGACAGGAAGCATGACATCAGAAGTCATTCCCAGAACAGGATGTTCCAGAATTGAGTCCTGCGTCGATATCAATGTCTGGGAGAGCCATCTAGTCCCTAACCTGGTGGAGAGCCTATACACGCTGTTACTGGCCTCTTTCTGTATGAATAAATGCAAGGGAGTCAGATTCAGCAATGCATTTAGGGCCGCTCCAGGTGTAATGGACATGGCTCCAGTTGCTAGCAGGCACGCTGTAGACTGCCCAATGCGGCAATAGTGGTTGTTTGACTGACTTTGCCACTCCAAACAATAGAGGCATAATATGTTTGATCTAGGGTTACCCCGAAGTATTTAACTTCTGCGGAAAAACTCACAGCCCTGGCACCAAGGATCGGTTCCACTGGCTTGAAATGACGTTAACTATGACAATATTAATGATACCCTTTTAAAGGTAGTTTATTTGTTTAATATTAACAATTTATTGCTCAATGCCAAAAAGACAAAGTGTGTCAAATTTGAATTACCTAATGTAAAATCGACTAGCCCAATCATAGAAATTAATGGATAACTTTTCAGTTAGAACTAGTTAATAAAGCTATCTTCCACATACATCTTCTTTGGCCAGCAGATCAAGCTCTGCTGCATACACAGTCTGTAGAATACGTGAACTTACCGATGTTGCTACTGCTAGATTAGTTTACTTTAGTTACTTCCATAGTATAATGTCCTACGGGATTCTCATGTAGGGTAAAGCGGCAGATATACAAACCATATTTGTGTTGCAAAACCGAGCAATTCATTCTATGTACCGTTTAGGTTCTGGGATTTCTCTCAGAGAAAACTTTACGGAGACTGGTATCATGACTGTGGCGTCACAGTACATTTACTCAAATATTTTGTATGCCCGTAAAAGTATACATAACTTCGTTAAGAAAGAAGATATCCATAATATTAACCTTAGAACTAAGTCCAAACTCATGGTACCATATTTTTGTTTAACTAAGGTAAATGATTCTTTTATGGCGAACTGTATACGTTTTTACAATAAGATTCTGGAGCATATATTAAGTTTACCATTTCCTAAATTTAAAACTTATTAAAAGTATTTTAATTGAAAAGTCATATTACAAAATTGTAGACTATGTGTTAGATAAAGATGTATGGAAAGACATTGTGACTCTAGATTCCACACAAATATGATTCAAAACGTATTTTATAGCATTTAATTTTTTTTGGAAAAGAGCAATCCCTAGAGTTTCTTGCTTGTTCTTCTCAGGGAGGTCAGCATAGTGAAAGAGAAGTAGCTTAAAAAATGATGTTTTCAAGTGTAAAAATTTTACGTATGGAATAAACAATTATTTGACTATGACATTGAAGAAGGCCTCTCGGCACCACGAAGTTTGCAAAATATACCTGTCCTAAAATGTTTTGTAATTGCTTCAGATTGCATTTTCTCTTTTCTAGTACCTTTAATATGGTATTCATTATTTTTGTTACCTTTCCTTTTGACAGAAACATTCTGTTTGACTTGGTGTTGTAAGTAACTCCGAGGTACTCCAGCTGCTGACTGGGGACTAATAGACATTTTGAATAATTTATTTCCCAACCCAGTGATTCCAAAAGGCTGACCTCCGAAGTCTGTGAGATCAGTTTACACTGGTCCTGGTAGATCAATACGAAATTGTCTAGATAAACTAGACCTCAAATTCCTCTGGCTTGAAGGATTTCCGCAATCCAATTCATTAGCGCTGCAAATGTAAGAGGAGCAGACACTAGGCCAAAAGATAGAGCTAACATATTAAGGAGTTCGCCGTTGTATATCATTCTCAGATAGCAACAGTGGGACTCTACTATTGGAATATGAAAATAGGCATTGGAAATGTCAATTTTCACCATCCAATCTTGAGCTTGAAGGAATTCGGGTGCTGTGGTTATGAGATAAAAATTGAAAATGTTTTGTTCTCACAAATCTGTTCAATCCCTGAAGATCGAAAATAGGGTGGAGACCACCACTGTTTTTGGGTATACAAACATGTTTGACAACAAACTGGGACTCACCTGCTTTGGGCATTCTAAAACCCACTGTTCCTTCAACTTATTTATCATTAGTGTCAATTCTGGTGAAACTTTTCTTGCATAACACTTTATTAAAATAAGGGAAAGGTAATTTATGTAGGTAGCTTGCTATATTGGTATGCATGCTCCCGAGATTATTTTCATAATAATGTTGTTTGCACCCAGTGTTTTCCATGCTACTAGAAATTCCTGCAAACATCCACCTCTGAATCTGTGACTCATTTCTTGCCTTTGTTGAGATGAAAGCAATTAGAAGGTGCTTTGAAATCTTTCTTAGGGAAATTCTTATTATTGCTCGATTGGAATGAGCCTCAGTTAATTTGAGGAGTTTGGTATGAAGTACAATGGGGTGGGTTCAGCAGGGTGTTTCTTTGGCATTGGTTTGCTATCATTAAGGTATGCATATTAAGCCAATTAGTTGTACCTCCCAATGATTGAAGGACTGGCATTAAACTGTTATGATCAAATAGATGCTCAGCACTAGTACGTAATTGTCTCAAGGTACTTTTCAAATTTTTATTAAGTATCTCAGAAATTATGCACTCCCTTCGAACTTCAATACATTCCACTCTTTTCCCACATACAACCTGCAGAAGTTGCTCCACATATCTATAATTATATGAGTTTGGTCCAAAAGTAGACATTATTTTTTCAAATTAATTAGACGGAGACTAATCGGTAGATGAGTTGCGTGCCCAGTTTACTATGTCCTGTAAGTTTTGCCTCATAATTTCTTAATGCTCTAATAACCCCGCCATAACTCTTTCGGTCAAAGTGAAAAAATATTTTCCTGGACAGAGGTAACAAAGCTCATCATTTATTCTAAATTCTTTATCATTGTAGTTAGTGCCTTTGAATATTTAACTTCCTCACACTCTTCAGTTTTAGAGTGCTGGAGTTTAATTAACTCATTCACACAGGCCCGAGGTGCGATTTTAATAACTTTATTGGAGTCAGTAACAGTTTTAATGTCAGCCAAATCAAGTAGTCCCTCATTAGGTTTAACAAGAAATTGTGCATCAATACATGTGGGCTGTGCATCTGGAGCAGCAGGCGTAGCCCGTAATTGTGTATTTGGCGGAGGTAGAACTGTACGTAATTTGTTAATATACTTACGTGATTAATTAGAGTCCGCATTCTCTTCCCGTTGACTAATTCTCGTCCTCTTGTTAGGAGTACGCGAGGATTCATCTTCCGATTCTTATTCTTATCCCCCACTATCGTCTTCCGCGGTTTGATCATGTGCTATGACTCGCGGGAAAGAGTATTTCGTTGGAACGCTTCATCATGCACCGTTTGGGAACCACTAAATGGATTCCCGTCACTCCTTTTTACTGTACACGCAGTTTTCCTTCGAATTTAACACCAATAAACACTATTGGTACGAAATGCAAACTTTTTCGAATTTTACACATTATGAAAAAAATTTCGCAGTTTAAGCGGGAGTTACACAAAACGCTATGACAAGAGAAGTTGACAGCTCTGGAGTGGTGCCAACCTTTTGAGCTAAATATCACAAAGAAGGTGGCGCCCTCGCGGTGACATGCAGGTACAGTACAAAAAAACCAAACATGACGGGAGTAATTGTAATTCATAAAGCCTTCTTCAATCCAATCTTTCTAATTTGTGCTTCAATCACAACGACGCTGTGTGTTTTTATGAAGACACAAAATATAATATTTATACAAATTGATTTTTTTTTTAAAGTCCCTATACTCAGTTATACTCTTAGGGTCATATTCTAGAACTCTACTCAATGCTCAAGTCGGGATTGCAATTGAAACACAAGCACTGGAAATACGACCTTAATGGCAGGGGCTTGAGTATGATTTCGAGTGCTTTAAACCATACTCAAATCCTGACTTGAGCATTGAGTAGAGTTCTAGAATACGACCCTTAGGGTCGTATTCCAGAACTCTACTCAATGCTCAAGTCAGGACTTATGAGAAGTGAGTATGATTTCAAGCACTGGAAATACAACCCTAATGGAAAGGACTTGAGTATGATTTATAGTGCTATAAATCATACTCCAGTCCAAGATTTGAGCATTGAGTAGAATTCTGGAATACGACTCTCAATATAAATTGTTTGAAAGAGATGGCTTATATGCTATAATCACAGACTTATTTATAAGTCTGTGGCTATAATAAAGTTAAAATGATGATAACTCTTAACGTTAAAATGTCTTAACGTAAAAAAAATCTTAACAAAAAAATCTTAAAATCTTAACGTTAAAACTCTTTTTAAATAGCATGCATTGTTTAAGAAATAAAAAAGCGCATTATTGACATTTCGCGAACTGGATAAGTGATTGCTATTCCTTTGGTTTTCCGTAATTGTGTGGTTTTATTCGTCGTACTAAAGGAATTAGGTGCAATTAGTCGTAATGGCGACTTCTAGTGATACGTCGGAAACGAACGTAAAATCTAAACGGCCAGCAGGTAAGTTTTATGTTGAGACCATTGGAAAATTGACACACCTTGTTGGCCTTGTTGTATTGATCACTTATGGTGATGTTTTTTGGTAGAATCTGCATTCAAACAGCAGCGTCTGCCTGCCTGGCAGCCTATACTGACCGCGGGAACTGTCTTGCCGACGTTTTTCGTAATTGGTATTGCTTTTATTCCTGTCGGTATTGGTCTCCTCTATTTCTCTGATGAGGTAAGGAACATAAATAATTTTGACATTTGCTTGACATCATTAACTGATTCTGATGTTGTTAAAATACTTGGTCTTGATATTTACAAGGAAAACACTGAAAGGCTATAAAAGTTTGTAGCGTCATTTAATCGTCATTTGATAAACAAAGTAGGTTACGTCAATGCCGTATTCATTGTGCTCAACGGACAATCGTACTAACGCTAAGGGTTGTAAATTTATAAAATAAACTTTTACTTTGAGTAACTGAAAATGGTGAGCTGCGCAAGTGTTTGTATTTACAAAACGGATATTGCTTAAGTTTAAGCAATAAATTAAATGTAAACTTAAAACTTTGCCTAGTAAAAGTAAGAAATGAAAAGTGAACGTAAAACTTGTGAGTAAAACTGTTGTAATTTTTTGCTTAACCTTAGGCTAAGTTCGTTTTTGTAAATGTGAAAAACTTGCTTAGGTCTCTATTTTTACTTTGTCAAAGTCATTCTTCTTATTTAAAGTATTATAGCTCATGTCAAGTTATGGAAGACATTTATTACTCAATTTTTTTTGTTTTTTGAAAATGGATTAATGTTTCTGAAAATAAGTTAGAATTTGAAAACATGAGATTTTTCATTTAATGATAGTATTGGTATACATCTCCCCAGCCACAGGTGGTACATTGAAGCGAAAATCCTACAGTTCTTTAATTCTAGATAGAATCAACAAGACATATCTTGATTCAGAAATTGTAACACATTTAGGCCACATTAGATCAGAGACATAGATGTACAGGCCCAAAATAAGCTACCCTAATAATAATAAGTTGTTTTACTCGAACCTAACATAATAGGAGAGCATAAATTGAAAACATTTTATCTAGTACTAAACTTTACTTCTACAAAATTGTAACTTTGCACGGACAGTCTTTAAACTTTAACCTATTAATTAATATAGATATGGTAGTTGGTGTGCACATTGCTCACAAACCTGGTGCAATCAGTGATACCTACAGGTGAAGACTAAAATCAGCACTGCTGTCTTTAAACTTTTTATCTGCATCTCTTAGCTTTTTTACAGTAATGTGGCATTATTGTAATTTCGATATGATGTGGAGAAATAAATGTCTTTTTTATTTTTTACATCTCAAACAAAAAGAAGGCAACTATTCTGCCCTCCTTGCCATAACCTAAAGTTTTTTTACAAATAAGAAATGTCAGTTATGCTGATTTTGCTTAACAATAAAACTGAAACTGAATAAGATATAAAAAATTACAGACGTATCTAAATAGACGCCGTAAGTACCGCAATCTAAATAAATAAATAAATAACGCACACACTCAACATAGCCCCGCACTAGGGAAACCCAGTGTCGCGGGTGCCATGGACACACACATAGACAACCACAAATTACACCCAAACTCTCGAGAGAAATAATTGTAGGCCATACAACTATTTCTCCTGGCCCGGGAATTGAACCTGGGACCTCTGCGTGCCGGGCATGGTAACCGTTCGGCTATGGAGGCAGTTTATTATTATTATTACAGTTTATTATTACAGTTTAATCTGCATGAAAACCAAACATGTCACATTTTTCGTACCTCTTATGACGTCACAAGCGTTGTATAAAGGTAGGAAACCTCCTTCGGCGTATTTGAAATGATTTTTCAAAGATTTTTCATTGAATATAAGGCTCAATTGATATTGTGGCGGAACAGAATGGAAGCAAATTTTTGTATAAATTGAGTCTGAGGATTAAAAATATAGTGAAATAACACCAAAATAAGATAAGCATATCCTTTAATAAAACGTGTTTTGAAGAAAATGTTTATTCATTAAAAAATTAAAGATTTGTGGTTCAATTTTTAATCAACTGCAATGGTTAGTGTATATTAAAATTATTGTTCTTGCTATAAATGAGCTTAATATATAATTGTCTTTTCTTTACAGAAAATCTCGAATGCTTACTTAAATAATGAAAATGCTTGTCAATGCATTAACTTCTGACTGCCTTAATTAAATTTACTACCTGGTTTTCTGTTGTTGTATGTGATTGATTAAATTAATGAATGTCAAGACAACTGAAAATGATATTACTGTCACCTCAATCCATTTTTCATTTAATTTTGGGTTATGTGGAAAATCAGAAAAAACAAAATATATTATTTTTATACTTAACATATTCTAATATCCGAATTAACATCCCTTTGTTTCCTAAATCTGTCAGAATCGAGAACTGTTCTTGGTACTTGGTGTAACGGCCTGATGTCCATCGGCGTTTTATCCATCGGCGTTTTATCCATTGGTGTTTTATTAATCCATCATCAGTGTTCCATCCATCGGTGTTTTATTAATTCCCGCCTTCTCAGGCGGCGTGTCCGTGTACAGGCCCCTTTGGGATCTGAACCTGAGGTAGACCATGCCTAACTGAAAAGTGAAACGCCGGTCATGCCCCAGGACAGCCGGGACCAGTTCTTCGGGGAGGCTCACCACCACGAAGTTATATCCACTTTGCTGCTGTAGCTTGTGGACAAACCAGCGGTGAACCTCTGCCCATGGGTTTTACCACTTGAGGATGCGGCCGATTCGGCGTGCATCCTCCCAGTGGCCAGGGATCAGCAGCCCGCAGACCGCCCTCCGGGGAGCCTTCACCCCATTTTTCAATGAGAGGGGCTCCCCGGACGGCAGCCTGATGGTGCTAATGGCGTCTCTAGCCACTGGAACGTGGCTGTGTCGTGGCACCACAATTTCAGGGACCCGTCGCTATAGACAGGTTTACCTCTGAATTGTGGGCCAACGTCTTCCTCGCTGCACTCCTCCGCTCCCTAGGCGAGGCGCTCACATAGGGCCTCCTGAATTTTGTCGGCATCGGGGCTCCGTATGTAGCCAGTTTTTGCCGAGATGATCACCGCCGTCAGTTCTTGGCTTCCTTGGCTTGGTGGCCTCGGCGTACGTGCATGTTGGGCGGGCCTCTCAACCCTTTGCTGTTTATGCTCACCTCTCGGAGATATTGTCTCGTCGAGTCGGGCACGTTTGGCATTAGTCGAGGGCCTCGGCGCGATTACCGGTTTGTTTCCAGGAGGGAGGGGGGCCCTTCCAGGGGGATGTGCGGCGGACCCAGTAGACCGCACTGGTGCAGTCCTCGGGCCACTGCCGTCATCCACTGGAGGCCTCGCCTCTCCCTCCTTCGGCCGTTGGTTGTTAGGGTTTTTAAGGCGCTCGCGTTCCCTGAGACGACCTCTCTTGTTCTTGCGGGCAGGGCGTCCCCTGCTTCCACTGGGGGCTGGAGGTGGTTGCTCGCCGTGGCCACTTATCCTTTCCTTGCGGATGGGTGCCGTGGCCTTGAGTTTGGGTTTGCTGGTGAGTACCAGGGTCCACTCTGCTTCAAGAGCTATGTTCGTGGGATTCTGCGATGCGGAACCGGGTGTGTTTGCAGGGGCCGCAGAACGAGAGGTTCGGGCCACTACCGCTAATGTAAAATGGCCACTGTGCTAGCACCAGCATCGGTGCTTGATTGACCTTGGCGTTTCCCCTTTGGCCTACCACTCACTGTAAGGTGCTGTTGTGTGTGTGTGTACAGTTCCCCTCCAGTACCACCGGTTTTGGGTGATTGATTGATTTTAATTGATCTGCAGAGTCCATAGTGCAGTGTTCTGTGTTCACTCTCGTGATTTCCCACCCAATACGGAGCCCACACCTTTGGGGATGTCCCAGTGGAGACTAGGATTACCAGGAGAAATAGAAAGGCAGAAGGTAGGAGCTCATTGCGCGCCATCGGGGGCTCCAAATGTGCGGCTGGTTGACTCGATCAAAGTCAGCCAGGTGTTCCGCACATACACACCCCGTCAGCATGGCCGAATCCATCCCCCCGCACCTTGCCGGTGGCCCTCGGACGGGACACATTGCCGTTTCCCTGTGTTGGCTAGTCACAAGGCTACCGTTTAGCAGGAAATCAGGGCCGAAGAGGGCGTATTGCTTGCCGCTCGGGCTCGGCCCCCCAGGATTCCTTCATCCCTGCGTACGGCGCTCAACGGCGTAGACATGAACGCAGGAGGATGTAAATTAAGACCGCCCACCACTTGCCATGGTCCACCCCCAGAAACGCATAGCCGGGCCGTGTTGATCGCTTCGCGCCCTCACTGGTAAGACTCAGACTGAAGCCGAGAGTTGTCAGTGTTGGCACCAGGGTGTACCGGCAGTATTGTCTTTGGAGTCAGTAATTGGTCTTAACAAATGTTATCTTATATGAGGTGACAATTTGGAATACGCTGTTTTGTATCAGGGGTTTATTAAATGTTATTATTAATTATTTAAAATTTATTTAATATGTTATTTTGTTATTTACTAAAAATTGTTATCTCCTTATAGGTTAGAGAGCAGGTAATAGATTACACGTATTGTGAAAAAATTGACAGCGAGGGAACAAAATGTGCAGACTACATTAAAGATCCGGAATTCATTAAGGACCCATTGAACAAGACTTGCATTTGTGAAATAAAGTTCAACCTCACTGAAGACTTTAAAGGCGATGTTTATTTCTATTACGGCCTAAGCAATTATTATCAGAATCATCGTAGATACGTGAAGTCCCGGTTTGTATAAATCTTTCAATGCAATCTTATATAGTAAACAAACATACCAATTATGAGACATATCAATGTGTTTCTCAGAGCTTTGAATCGTAAAAGATCCGAGGGGCACTGCCACTACGTCTGTCACTCTGAGACATAAGTTGACAAGTCCCATGTGCCTGTAATTTCACCACCACACGTACTACTTACTTTCTAGAACTGACTGGCCATCTGTGAAAACAGAGTGAGCACACATTATTTATTTTTTGTTGTAACTTTTTACAAATTGAAAGATTGGTTTCTACAATTCTTTTAGAACTTCTACTATATGACTAATATTTTAAAACGTTCTTCAGAGGGTGCTCACTTAGTACACACACACACACACGCGTTAATTTTGCTATTTAAAGCGGCACTGCTACTGGTGAAATTACACGCACATGGGACTTGTCAACTTATGTGTCGAGGTCACGGGCGCAGTGGCGGTACCTTTGCGATTTAAAGTTCTGAGTGGCAATGCAATTGTTATGAATAGGCGTGTCGCTTACCGCCAGGCGCACGACTTGTTCGTCCCGTCACTTGGTATTGTGAAAAAAAAACTTACGCATATTGGGTGACCACCAAACATACGACTTGTTCGCCCTGTCACTTGATAATCATGAAAATAATCACACTTTAGGCCCCACATTCGGAACGGTGCGGTGATGCATTCAGTGGGTCGTCCAAGATTTGCGTGTACATTACGCGCAAACGTATCTTGTGTTGAATACATCCAACATACGACACAATGTACGCTCCCCTGAAAGCACTAAAATGCGAATTTGTGGCCTTAGAGATATGTCTCCAAGTCAAATAATCATTTATTCCATAGGTCAAATTTTTACACTTTGAAAACGTCATTTTTTAAGCTACTACTCGTTCACTATTCTGACCTCCCCGAGAATAACGAGCAAAACTCTAGGGGTTGCTCTTTTCAAATAAACTTAAATGCTATAAATACATTTTGAATCATAATTGTGTGGAATCTAGACTCATGTTGTGTTTCCATACATCTTTATCTAAAACATACTCTTCAATTTTGTAATATGACTTTTAAAATACTTTTAATGTAAGCTATACACTTAGGAATTGATAATATCTCCTCAACACTGTATTCATAAATTTATTGTAATATGATTATTTGTCAATTTTGTAGGGATGATGATCAGCTACTTGGAAGATTAGACCTTGCCCCAAACACAGACTGCGAGCCATTTTTATATGTCATGGTGGGTGATGTACAGACACGTGTAGCACCGTGCGGTGCTATAGCCAACTCGCTATTCAATGGTACGATATTTTTTGTCATGTACCATATAAAACAGATTCTTAAAACCATGTTATAAAATATGACATTTAAGAAATTTGTTTTTTATACAGATACCCTGACAATGCATACGCAAGATTTGAACGAGAATGTCCCGGTGCCGGTGTTGCGCACAGGCATTGCGTGGGCGTCTGATAAGCAGATCAAGTTTAGAAACCCACCCTTAGGACCAGGGCAGACCCTGAAAGATGGTAATCCAGAATTAAAAATCAATGGAAACTTAATTAAACTAAAACTTTGTTAACTTATTACAAAAATATTTTCATAACAACCAAAATCTTAAGCAAAATGTATTAAGTTGAAGTATGTATAGATTTTTAAAAATGTTATATTTTTCTATTTCAGAATATAAAAAATCAACAAGTTGTCAATTTAAAAAATCCCAAAAATGAGAAATCTAAAATGACTTAATCCACAAATTAAAATCGATTAATCTGTAATTAATTAATGTAAACAAGTTTAAGCAATTAAAAATAGAAAAACTCAGCACCAGATGATAATGCAATTAAAATAATTACATTCATTGGAGTTACAGATTAAAAAATTTTAAACAGTAAAACATTGCATAATAAAAAGAAATATAAAATCGATGCGCGTTTACAAATCCATTCATTAAATTTGTCGATTCGTTTCATCGATGCAGTATTTTTAGTCTGTACTGATAGTGACAATATTTCCTGGAACTTTTAACATTGTAAAGAGTTCAAATTAGATACTTGTACAAAAAAAAAGAACATAATATTTGTAAGTCAATGATAATATAGCATATGCGAATAGATACATTTTTTAAATATATAATTTAAATTTTTCCTAATAACATAACCCACCTTCAAGTTTACAAATATAAACATCAGCTGTTATGTATAGGTTGTTGCATAAACTCAACTTTAATAAATCTCTCCAAAATCTGAGAGCAGATGCGTTCCGTTCAACACAGCATTGGCGCGGACATACGTAAAGAATATTATTCTTACTAGGTATTATTTAGAACCATCTTTTTTCCATTTAAAAGAGCTACTGTATCACTTGGAACTCTAGTACGAATTTACAACCCCAGAGTCCTCTTTTATCTGGTTGATATGAATTATTTTACCTATCCTGCTTTCATTCGACTACGTTTTCTACAATGTTTTTGATAAAATTGTCGGGTTACTCAAGATTGTTCATTTTTCTTTTCAGCTTTTGCAAACTACACGAAACCACAGAACTGGCATAAACATATATATGAATTGGATACGGATCCTGAAAATAATGGCTTTCTGGTAAATTATTTTTGAAATTGATTAAGGAAAGGAGAATGAGCAGATTGGTCGAGCCTTCCAATACCAAGAATGGTATATCAATTGAAAGGCCACTTTGTGTAAACAATTTTATACTGTTACGCTAATTAGAATTTGTCTGCTCGAAGATAGTTTCCTCTAAAGGAGTTATCACACTTATCCGCGTGGAATCGGCTTGAGCCGGCCTGCAACAACTTAATGCCCTTGAGTAGTTTTTTTTACAAATAAATAAGTGCGCATTTGACCTCTGTCTCACCAGGGGGTCTACTCTCGTTCTTCGTCCGACGTCCGACCCAAACTATTACTGTCAAATAAGTAATACTCGACCAAATCAAAAAACAATGGTCAAGTATGGAAGCTTCATTCGCTTCTTACGTCTTTTAATAAATGGTCGAGTATTACTTATTTGACGGTAATAGTTTCGGACAGATGTCGAACGGAAAACGTCATTACAGTGCCTGATGGAAAGTGTCGATGAGGTCGACGATGGAGCATGCACACCTAAACAATGCCCGTTCACTTTCACCTTGAAGCATTCAGGGAATAAATATGCAGGCAGGAAATTCCACTCTATAACCATTCGCCATAGAAATATGGAATCGTAACGCTTCGTACGTGTTCTTGGGATATCCATAACAAAGGGTTGGAACCTGAGCCTACGTCTAGTCCCCCGATTATAGAAAGGGGAAAGCCGAATTAAATCATGCAATTCGACACAAATTGTGCGTTTCTAATATGTCGAGACCCTTACTCCATTTCCGGTAATGTCCCTTACATACACTCTTATTGCTTGGATATAGGAACTGACTGACGTATGCTCCATCAATAACCGTGTTGACTCTTTGAGGAGAAGATGTAGGCTATAACTCACTGCCCTTGCGCAATGCCCCGACATGTGTTTCATCCTGATGTTTTTCTTCAAGGCAAGATTATTGTCACTACATGTTAGGCAAGTCTGTCACAAAGCCTTATTTCGTACTTATTTATTTTCAGAATGAAGATTTAATAGTATGGATGCGTACAGCGGCATTGCCAACATTCCGCAAATTATATCGTCGTGTCGACCACTCAAAAGACGGATTTAGCACGGGACTTATCAAGGGAGCTTATAAGCTTATTGTTGAGTACAGTAAGTATGATTAGATTACCATGGGATACCAATTCTTATAAGTTGACTTTAGTACATATTTAAAACTGTAGATGGCGACACTTGTATATAAAATGAAGAGTTGTTGTGTTGTCTCCAAAAATTGAGGTATATCATACCAAAATAAGAAGTATAACATATAAAAAAAAATGAAAAACTAGTTAAACAACATTTTAGGAATGTTCAATTAAAATTCATTTACAAAATTATTGTGATAATTGGTGAAAACAGTAAACTGTCGTTGAAACAAATCGAAGGTTTCCCAATGGTATACTTTTTTAATTCTTAGTTTGTAATAAATTGTATACATGTCATTTCTTTGAATTTATTTTCGAAACCAAATAACATTTTGCACTGACTTATACTTCAAAATATTAAAGTACAGACTCGGTTTCCGTGCGATTTTGTTATATGTTATTATATATATGTATAATCAACTGCAAAGCCTGAACAAGAGCAATAACTTTGACAAAAATGTTATAGCTGCCATCTGTTGCCCTTTTTGAACATTATTACAAACGCATCGCGAGTTTACTTGGGTGCAAGTTGGGTGCATCTATTGATCGGAGCTAAGAATCAAAATATGTTTGAGATTGGATATCTGCAAAATATCATTACTACTACAGTATTTGTGGTATACGTACACTCAGCTACATCTTATTCGTCTTTCGTCGAGTCACTTTACGTGAAGTGAACTTCTGCAGTAGTCATGACTTCAAACTTATTATTTCTTACACAACATTTTTCCTAAAGTCATAACAAATTGAAAAGTACTGAATAAAGCACATAGAAAAATTCGTTAGGTCCTTCGTGGCTTAGTTGGATAGCGTCTGGCGCGGTTTGCTGACCAAATCCAGCTGTTCTGCTGACGCTGGTTCGAATCCAGCCAGGTCGAAGCAATTTTTTCTTAGTGTTCGATCTTTGTATTAGTAATTATAACAAACTAGTGTAGTAATTATACAAAAATAATTTAATATCAGGGTGGTCAAACGACGTGATAAATTTAAATAAAAACTTTTTTGTAAAAACAAACCGACCTCAAAAGTTCGTGGAATTACATTTATTTGCCAAGTTTTATTGAAATCGGTTACCGGAAAGTGCGCGAAACCGGATTCATCCCCTACTTTGCCGTCCTTGAAGGTGGAATATTTTCTTCAAATTTAAATGGGACTAATACTGAGGTACCCTCTTTACAACAAAAGAAGAATCATCAAAATCGGTTCACAAATGCCCGAGTTATCGCGTAACATACATACAAAAAAAAAATAAGCAAAAAAAAAATGCAATCGAATTGAGAACCTCCTCCTTTTTGTGACGTCGGTTGAAAACTGAATAAAGTTTAAAAAAAGCTATAATATCAACGCAGCTACTGATTGGGTCTCGGTCTGTAGCTCATTTGATAAGAGCGGTGGCCTCGGTGTGCCAACGGAAGCTGGTTCAAGTTCAATCAGATCAAAGAAGACTTACTAAAAGTTATTTTTTCAGATTACCCAGTAACAGATTTTGATGGCACAAAGACCTTCATAATATCAACTACGTCCTTACTGGGTGGCAAAAATCCTTTCCTCGGAGTCGCGTACGTCGTTGTTGGAACCCTTTGTCTTCTGCTGGGCATTGTACTCTTGGTTATTCATGTACGGTGCTCTAAGAGGTGAGAGATTTTTTTTCTTGTATACTTTACAAACCTTTTCAGTTACTGTTCATAAAAATCATTGCTGATTGAATGCAGGTTTATTTAAGAAGTTACCACATTTATCGACGATGTTTATGTTTTTACGAAGTTTAACTGTTGTGTGTTCATGCAATAACAGCGAAAAAGACATTTTGCTTCAAGTTTGAACGGGTCTGAAAAAGCGTAGCAATTTTTTACCAGCTCAAGCAGCGTCGTTAAGTCTGGTGACTCCCTTAGTCGCAGTCATAATAGGGTAATTACTAAAAATACTTAAAAAACCCTCAACTCCCACAAAAATGCTGAAAATATATTTGTAATTCGTTTTTCGATATCTCCAATAGTGCTAGAGATATTAATAGTTAAAGTCAATGGTGGGCGGAGGATGATCCGTGACTCATTAGCAAAAAGGATTATTTAGTATGTAACTAGTTTATTTATCGAATTTCAGTTCTGTTTTCATGTTTGACCATGAACTTTATATCTATTTTTAGTGTAAATGTGAGCAATTTTTGTAACATTTTTTCTGTGATGTCATTATCACTTTTTAAAATAATTGGGTACGTTTGTCCATTAGAATAATAAACTTAATTGGTGTTTATATATATGTATTTATTTATTTATTACCTTGAGTGTTTAATTAGACCGCAAAATAGCCTGGAACATTGGCAGCTATGCCATATTATAATTGTTACTGAAATTAGTCCTCCTACTACCTTATACTAAAAATAATCAAGAAAGATCCCTGACAATCCATAAAAATTTACGAACTAGAACCTTGTAACAACTTGCACGTATTTTATAAAGTATTTTTATAAGCGTTGCTTTTAAATGAATGAAATAGCTTTTGTTTAAGTAGATACATTAAATTAAAGTAAAAATAATAACAAATCAATGTTTATTTGTGAGAAATGAGCGGATTTTTTTTTTCAAAAATTCAATAATTTTTTACGACAACGTGTAAAGGTTACAGACTACAGATGAGTTGTATGGAGAAAAAGATTTCGATAATTTAATTTAAAAAATGTGTATTGCGTGTATTCATTCTTAAAGTATGAATTTTAATCCTAGACAATGAATTGACATGTCCGTGTGATTTACTTTTTGAAACCAATAAATTGTTATTTAAATTTACTAAAATATGAATTGAAATTGAATTTTAATTACAGTTGTGTGTTTTATACCTTCAATATAATACAAAACACTTCACACGTCTATACATCAAAATAAAACTATAACATAGAACTTTTGCTTCAAAAATCAAATACTCTAAAAATCTTTCGACTTTACCTCATTCCTACAACAAATGTGAAATGTAGTGTCACAGGGATCATCCTACTTTGTCTTTAGTATGGTAACAGAAAAAGTCAGAATATTTTCCTTTAATTAATACATAGAATGTTTTTATTTGCTGGAATGCATTTTTGTGGTCTATAGCTCGATCAACGGCACGTTTCCCTTTACACTTACTCTAATTGCATAATTTGATTCCGCCTTCCCCTTTCCATCATCGGGGAAATAGACATGGGCTGGGGTTTCACCCCTATGTTGTGGATATTCTCTGGATTCGCACGAAACATTTCGCTTCCACATTTGTGTGGCGAGCGGCTTGGGAGTGGAATTCCCTGCCTGCAGACTTATTGCCCGAACGCTATAACTTGGACCTTTTTAAGGCGAGAATGTGCAATGGCATTATTTAGGTGTGCATGGTACATCCTCGACCTCATCGTCACTTTCCATCAGATGAGATGGAGGTCAAATGGGCACTTATTTTTTAATTTTTTTTTCAATAAAAATTTCTTTAAACGTAACCTGGTAATTTTCAGGGTTGTTTTCTCTGCCTAATTTCAGGGACAATTTTTATTATTCAAACATTCTAGAATATTATCATGCAGTATTATTTAATATTCTAGTGTAGTAACCTGACATATTATTTAATATTTCAAGATAATATACTCGAATACTTAAATAATAAAAATTTCCACCGAAATTAGGTAGAGAAACTAACTTGACAATTACTCAACTATAAATTTGACTTACACGCATTGACTTACAATTTGTAAGTCAATGCTTACACGGTCGAAAGTGTAAAACCCAGCGTTCTGTTGACTGCATCTAAAAGAAGTTTTTTTTACTGTTTGTGCATGGTATTTCAACAACTATGTTTTTTTCCAAAGAATATATTCGCTGCGTTCAAGAATAGTGGCTCAAACCAAAATAATTGATATTATTGGTCTTGTAACACCGCTGCATTCAGAATGCTAAGTTTTATTGTAATAAAGACAACGACCTTTTTTATTGTTAAAATAAACAAGTGACAACATGGACTGGCGTATGATTGATCGCCTTTGCACTACATTATAATACTTCAGTTGTTTTTCGTCTTCCTGATGAATTAGGTTGATTCTGAGATAGACCACTATTCTTGAAAAGTGTTGATATGTGTTAGAATGCATGTATTATATTTCTATTAGGAGGGGCTGGGCTAACGCATGAGACGGCAGGCGCTCCATTACCAAGTTACAGGCTAAGTTTTATGTTTTTCTGTGAAAGGAGGCTAAACTTGAATCTAATTAATATTTTTTTAATTTCAATGGCTATATTAGAAAAACCATATGGATTCGTTCTTGTTTCATTTTTTTGTTTGGAATGGAATATAACTTACTTTAAAAATAAAATAATGTCATCATGAAGCAAAATATCCCATCTACAATATTTAAAGTACTTTCCCTCTGTGTCGCATAGCCCTGACACAACCTTTATACCTCCGAGTCGATTGAATGCGTCCGGTTTGTACCAAATGCAAAAAGACAAATGATAAAATTCCGACGACAACCGAAGATTGCCGAGAAATGTTAGGGAAATAATTGTACTGTACGTTGAGTGGCAAATCAATTTTGGCCTCCTATTATGTACCAGCTTTTCTAATTACTCACGCGTAATGTTCATTTATGTTTGTGACGTGCGTGTTCTAACCTCTCTAATCACGGTAATAAATAATCGTGGAACTCCAAACTTTAAATTTTGTTTATGAAACTGTAGTTTCCCTATAGTGTGTAGAATTTAATAAGACCCTCCCACACATAAGACAAGTAATCCCATTTATATTGTATTTTTTGAAGATAGAGTAAAATGACAGTTCATTGCGTAAAGTGTTGCCCGCTTGCAAGAATTTATGTAGTCGATAAATATTCTATCGATTATCGATTCTATGCTAGTCACGCTTATGCAATAAATGGCCAAATTTGTTTCTTTTGTATCATTATCGGTTAATAATTCGTCCAATTGCTGGGCACATTTTTTTTTAAAGTGAATGAATTGTCAATTTTTGTAAATTCATACATACATACACACACTGCAGTTAGAACTATGTCTATTAAAAATACAAACAGGCGACACTTTTCAAAGTTTTTAATTTTAATTCAATATGGATATGAAATCAGCTTGTTAAAACGTATGTGAATAAAAATTGTTTTGATCCTGATAGGCCAACTGTCAAAATAAGAATGAAGAAGACAATAACGCAATTAGTAATGTTTACGAGTAGAACGTCGTAACATTCACAATTCCGTAATTTTTGGCAAAATTTTACTTTCTTTCACAATTTATCGATAAAACTGTCGACAATAACTACACGACTATTTAAAATTGTATGAAAACTGGCGACCCTACAAATGTAATTTTACTCCGTCTTCAAAAAAGACAGAGTATATAATATGAAAACAAAGTTTATCTTTTTATGGTAGTAGGTCAGTGGGAGAACGGTTGCTTCTCAATTGAGAGGTCAACAATTCGAGTCCTTGTGGCGGCATTATAAGTAACGTACGTTTGTTTAAAAGCAATACTTCGTAAAACGAAAACATCCTGATTGAAATCTGTGTGACGACCTCGGTGGCCCAACGGTTTATACTGTGGGCGCTGGATGAAGAGGTTCCGAGATCGGTTCCAGGTAGAACCAAATTAGGAAATTAAATTTTTTAAATTGGTTCTGGTCTGAGTGTTCGCGAAGTGCCCTCAGAGTGAATTCCGTTGTTCTGGTACTTCAGGAAATTCCCTCAGTTTCGCGAGTAGGTAATTTTCAGGTTAGTTTTCTTTACCTAATTTCTTTAGCAATTTTTATTATCTAAATATTCGAGTTTTTAAATAATTTATTAAATAATATTTTAGGTTACTACACCTGAATATTAAATAATACTTCATGATAATATTTTAGAATGTTTCAATAATAAAAATGGCCATCGAAATCAGGTAGGGAAAACTAACCTGAAAATTACCCGAGTACAATCAGTGGCTTGCAGATTAAGACTTAATTGGAATTCACGATATATTTTAATCAAAGGGGATAATTTATGACTTTGAAAACGTCGGTTTTTCAAACTTGGAAATTAGACGAATTATCGATTATTAGCGTCACTGACATCGCGTACGGTGCAAAAACCAATTATTTATCCTATAAATCAAATTCCTAGATACTATCCTCCTCCCACGGCTTCCTTCATGATGGACTTAGACCCCCGTCTCCCACCTAACGAATCACTGTGCCCCTACAACCATGAATCCGAAGCAGAGTGCCCAAACATTCGTGTACCCTGCAAGTAAGTCAATTCTCTTTTGTTATAATGAGAACGCTCTTGTTTAATCAGTGCTGAATTGGATAAACACCAAGAAGAAGCCGCTTTAACGGAGATATTTTGTCATTCATGTAAAGCACGTCGGCCTGGCCGCGATGGTCAGTATTTTCCAAGTGGTTGTTTGACGGCCAAGAACTGTCACTTGATACCACGTGTTGCTTTCAAATGGACATCGAAGAGTTAGTTATGCTAGTGTAATTAGTTATGCGAAAGAAGAAAAATATATATAAAAAAAATTGGGTACGTCCATTGTTATGTGAAAGGCAATCAAAATAATTGTATCATAGTTACTACTTACATATTAAAAAATATAAAAATAATCGTTTATTTGAGCCCATATTTTTTAATTACAATATGTGCAATGAAACCGAAAATTAAAGATAATAATTTGATATAAAAATTGATTACTAAAAATTAATAATAAAAATGACAGTTTAAAAATTTTAAAATTACATTTTTCTTCATTTAATATTAAATAATAAATAACAGATTATAACTTTAATGAAGTTAAATTTAAAATAATTAAATAACGATACAGTTACTTAATAAAATTTGAAGCACTGGTATGGACTTCCAACCACCTAAACATAGGCGTGTTCCAAATTATTCAATTATATGACAATATCAAACTGCACGTCCATATGCAGCTCGTACAAATCTTTTGTTGCGGTTGGCAAGAAGCAACCTTAGGGTAGAGAATTAGGAAATTCACATCTTTGTGCTTGTCTATATTTTTTGTTGTTGATTGTTTATTGTTTGGTTATTTTTTGTAAACATTAAATTACCCCTTAGTACGTCGTTCCTATCATTTAAACAGACAACATTGTACTAATTTAGGAACTCAATCATTATTTCTCATACGAATGTATAATAAAGCTTAATGAGTCTAAAAATAATTTGTAATTATTTATTGTAATTTGTATGGCAGACGTGTTTGGAGTTTCAGGTAGCGTATATGGCTTAATTAATCAGAGACGCTTTCTTACGAGCGTTTCTTGCGAAAAACCGTACCCATTATAAGTCGTTCTCTAGTGGATGTATAGTAGTAATTATTCTAATGTCCGAATCCACTTGAGCTCTTATCTTTTCAACAGTAGCATTGTTAAGTCCAATGTCTTTATTCAGTTTAGAATAGAGTTTGTTAACCTGTGGTCCATGGATCCCTAAGAGATCCGTGTGATGACTTTTTTTTGACGGGGTCGAAATCTTTATACAGGGTGTCTCAAAACTCAACGTCAAGTGGTCACTGGGCGAGAGGCCAGGTTATATCAGTTCTGGTAAAAATTAAAAAAAAATCCATGTCACTTAGATAAGTGATAATAGGCATTTTTTTGAAAATGTTGAAAATCGATGATACCCTAGACCACATGTTTAGGTACTGTCGTCACAAATTTTCAAATTTTGGAGTGATTTTTTTTAACGTCGTCATAAATAACCATGCTATTTATTGCAGTCACAAATCAAACAATAAACGTTATGAGTTTAGTAAAAAAAAATAAGTTTCATTGAGTCGTAGCTTAAAAAAAAATATGTCCGCTAACTTTGACACTTCATATTTTAAACAAAATGTACTACACTACCCTGGGCAAGTTATTTTAAAAGATGGTCCATATAATCAAGATTTCAAAATGGTACAATACTTGGCACTCTTCATTCCATAAAAAATATTATAACTTATTTTTTGCAAAAGGAGCTCGTTTCAAAAAAAAATCGCCATGATAAATAACACTTTTGTGTGCTCAAAGATTGGCTTTAACATCGCGGAAGTGAGATGGTCATATGTGATAGAGTGATATGGATAGTGACAACGCATTAAACAAAATAATCTACCCTAAGACATGTGAGTGTGTCAACTTAATAATTAGTCGATTGTTGTATTATAATAAATTTTAATCAAAATGAAATGAAAGGAACTATTGTAATACTTTAATGTTAAAGTAAATGCTCAAATTGTTTGCCTTCGGCACGAATACAGGCCCTGCATCGCCTCACAAAATATCTTTTTATCAATCGTGCGAATCTTCTCAAACTAATTTCTTCTGCTGCTTCAACAATTTTGTGGCGTAATTGGGTTAGCTCTTTGGGTGGGCTCTTTGACATTTTGAGAGGGGCGGGGTCTATGACTAGAAAAAGGTTGAGAGTCCCTTGTTTAGAATCAAAAGAAGGAAACAAAAAATATTTCTGCGACGACCTCGGTGGCCTAACGGCTTAGACTCTGAGCGCTGGATGCCGAGATCTCGGGTTCGATTCCCGGTAGGACCAAATTTGGTAATGAACTTTTCTAAATTGATTCTGGTCTGCGTGGGGAAGTGTCCCAGAGTGAATTCTGTTGTTCTGGTACTCACAGTACAGGGAGTTAATTTGGTTGAGACCAGGCATTGGTGTGGTCGTCTGGTACATTATGTTGCATTATTACTTCGGTCAAATAACAACTTTACTGCAAACGCTAAAGGTTCAATTTGCAATGGTTGTTCATTTAAACGTTTTGAATTGAAAGTAACATCTGAGTTGCTGTTATGGTATGACGCGCGACGAATTTGATACTTTTATGAACACTATTTGCCACTTGCAATTTAACTGTGCAATAGTGATTGGTATCATGATGCCTAATGATAATATATTTTTTTTTAATTAACCAAAAAATTTTAGATCACCATTATTGTAATAGCAGTGGGATATACTGGTTTCGTTTGGTTTTTCTTTTAGTTTTCAAATCGTTTGTTTGTTTTCTCAATAGCATAATTTTGAGTTACAACAGTAGTAGGTTTCGTGCGCTATTTCAGTTGTTTAGACTTCCAAAAGCGTACCTGACTCACCTCTCTTTGGGGACGTATTATATACGGAAAGCCATATACGCTTCCGAGTGAATTAAAAAAACACCTTATAAAGCGTAGATAATTGATGTCTATCATTTTCTCATTGCAGCACCACCGAAATGATCAACGTGAACCCTCGCACTCCGTACTCATAAGAATGGTGAATACAAGTTTTTTGTTTGTTATGTCCTTTTAAGTCTTAGGACCAATCTACATTACTGAGATATGGAATGGAAGCGAAGTTTTGTAACTTCTTCTTTTTGCTTATTGACGGTACTCAATTTCGCCAGTGCCGAGTTTTCTGCTTAGTAATTATAAATAAATTGTAAAAATAATATACAAAATGTGGCGATAATATTGACTCGCTCCATGGTTATGGGTTGACGGGACAGCGGCAAATAACAGCTTTAGTGTGAGGCCAGACGAGCGTAATTTTGTGAGTTGCGTTTTTTTTGCGCTCGAAATTTGGTTGGAGCGCCAGACGAACGTATTTTATCCAGTTGCTTTTAAGCGTTTATACGGGGTGTGTGTGTCGTAATAGTGTAATGGATCCATTAATAATCTCAGTACAGAGTACTAAAAAAACCGACCTCAAAAGTACGTGGAATTACGTCTATTTGCTAAGTTTCATTGAAATATCCCCTAGTTCGCCACTATACAGGACTTGATACTGGAGATAATAAAAATAGGTTCTCACTACGACACTACTCAAAGTATATCGAGAGAAAAACGCATTGAATTGGACAAATAGCAAAATCAACTAAATAATTCCTAAAAGTAATTGCTTCGAAATTAAAGTTAGGCGCTATTTATAAAAATGAATCTTCATGCGTGAACAGCCACCCTTTGAGGTGGATGATTTTCTTCAAAATGTAATGGGACCACTATGGAAATACACCCTTTCCAACAAAAAAATAATCATGAAAATCGGTTCACAAATACCGGAGTTATCGCGTAACATACATACAAAAAAAAAAACAAAAAAAAAAGAACATACAGTCGAAATGAGAACCTCCTCCTTTTTTGAAGTCGGTTAAAAGTAGTATGCATTTATGAAGCATTAGAAGACGATGTTTGAAAAAGAAGCTGGGCACATCCACTTAATATGAAACGATTAAAGCGGGCAGTTTCATATATTACATACAAGTTTATGTGAACATCCAGATCAATTTGTTAAGTACTACCACGTGCCAATAAATGTTTTCCAAGAATAATTATAATTATATTAAGCCTAGTAAAACGTTTTATTGCTAAGTCAGATACAAATATGAGACAAGCCATCAGGCCAGAGGAAAGACTAACAATAACAATCAAGTAAGTTGTTCAATTATTTATATTTTTATATTTTACAAACAGGAGATTACAGAGTTTCACATTGTTCATCTGTTTCATAATTTTGATTTGCTTCATTATATTAATTTATTTTGTGGTAAATTCCATAAACATAGACGTTGTTCAATCTCGGTGATAAATTTTTCCGTATCGAACATTTTCGCAAGAAACGTCTACATTCACGCGCATCCTATACCAAAGTGACCCCTTCCCCTCATCCCTGCCTCCGCCCGCGCTAGCCCGAAACACGATGCGACCGAAAGTCAGTCGTCATTACGACCATGAGTCAGCAGATAACTCATTTTGCGTCGTCGTGTGAAACAAACCGTACTTTTATATGAAACCGAATGCAGCGCAAACTGCGCAACTCAAAAAACACAACTCACAAAATTACGCTCGTCTGGCCTCACACTTAAAAGCAGACATATCTGTCTACCCTTCTTCCCTGTCCACGACTACCTTCTCCTCGATTACTTGTGGCGTTACCATTGTCACTCACTTTTTACCGACAAAACAACTTCAACCAACGACAAACATACCGAAGTCATACCGTGATAAGAAACCTGTAATTAGTAATAATCACGAAAACCTTATAATCTATATTGACTCGAACTAGTATTTATGTCATTGTTGCAATGAAATAGTGCATAGCATAATGAGCTATATGTCAATTGTGTAATATACAATCCTACATACGAGCTAAAAAACAGCGCGCGTTTTCCGGAGACTTCTCGCGCAACCTCGGGAATTCCAGCAGCTCCCGTCTTGTATCTAGTTGGTACGTTACACAGTTGACATAAAGTTAAAATTTGCTATGTACAGAAAAATTAGCTTCCATTCCACTCCACGTCAATGTAAATTGAGCCTTATAGTCAGAAATCGAATAGACAATATAATTACCTACTTTGAAATCTGGGTATGAATAAAAATAAAAACAAGATAGTTCTATCGAGTTCTATTAAGATAAGTTCTAGTAAGATAGTTCTATTTTTATTTTCAATTACAAACTTTACAAAACGGGTATAAACATTTCAGCGTACCTGTGAGAAACAAAACGAGTCCAGCCAGCTGGAAGGAATTTTTCTTTCCGATTTTTATATTAATAATAATAAATAACAAACTACTGAAGTATTTTCACAAAAATAATATGATAATCATGGCACTAAAACATCATGATATTCAATAATTGAATAAAGTAATTCCTTGTTACGTATTAAAATTATAGAACAAAAGACATACAATAATTCTAGAATTTCCGAGAGAGGTATTATTCACTCTATGTGGGTTAATTTCTTTGAAGTTTAGCTAGATATACTCTGTCTATTCCGATTTCTGCTTGTAAGACCGATTACACACAGCTACTTTTAGCTGCGCGTGTGCAGCGATTCAGCCGCCTATTAATCGCAAGTGTCGCGATGCAATCGCGCGTTTATAGCTGCTAACAATCGCCGTGTGTAACCGTCCTAATAGAAAAGTGGTTTACAATACTTTATATCATTAGAAGACGTCTATCTTCTAAAAATGCAAAAACAGATTACACTATTAAAGACCACCGTGCGTACATTGATAAGTCATGTGCGTTGTTATAGTTCACGTTAAATCGTCTAAATGGCCTATTTTTCTCAGAAATACGCGTGTAGGTTGATTTCATTTACGCTGCAATACCTCTACAACGTTACGCCTCGAATCAAAAGCGAAACATTCAAAAATGGGTTTTAGACATCGCACATGACAACTAACATAGTATTATCTCAAAATTGCTTTAAGTTTTATTAATATTACCTATTTAGTGTCAAAGCGACAGTGTTGTCCTGTTACTTTGAAATTAAATCGTATATGAATGACACATCAATACAGCGAAATTTTGGAGATGCATTATTAATATAACGCAATTTTGAGATAAAATATAATATAACGCAATTTTTGAGATAATACTATGTTAGTTGTCAAGTGCGACTTAGCTTCCTAAAGTACGTTTTAGAAAAAACATGTATACAAGCTGAAACAAAAAAGGTATTCTATCTCCGCGCTGTCTGCGGAAAGGAAACAAGACTAAGAGTGCCTTCAAATTAGAAGCTTATAGAAGCTTATAGGGCCACCGTGGCGGTACAGCTGCGTCACTACTAATTTTCATATAACATTTAGAAACGCCGTTGCAGCGCCACTGTCGTGACACGCGCCTGCCACTTTTGCAGTCATAAACGAAATACTAAAACGTCGCCTTACTTTCTCAAACTCGTATCTTAAAGCACAAAGTTACTGAAATGCAAAAAATAGATTCGTTTATACAGATTTTGCAGGCTGATTTCACATCACATTTCCTTCATATTCACACATTGTCACACTTGCTTTTACCTATTCTTAAATTAATGCATCCAAATGTGTTAATTTGATAAGAAATTTAAAATAAATAGGTTTTGTCGTCTCCTGAATAATTACTCTTCATAAGATACTAGTTTGAGAAATAAAGCATCGAAATATAGTTCGCTAGAACTAAAAACTGCTAAAGCGCTACAGACGCGCGGCTGCCGTCCCAGCATTCGCGCCACTTTAGCTCTTCTACAAGCGTCTAATTTGAAGGCGCTCTTAGCTCGCTTTTGAATGTTTCACATTTATTTTCGAACTGTGCACTGAAATGACGGCCATTACATTAATTTTATTCGTTAACTAATGAAAATAACAATTACAACTAGTTGTGCCTTAGAGGTTATCAAATAGTGTTTTGTTTCTTAGATTTATAGAAGACGTGTTAATATTAAGCAAATAAAAGAGAAATGTGATAGTTTGCTATTTATTCTTATTTTTTTTTTGTTAAAAGACGTGTTTCAACGAAATTTCATATAGTTTTCGTTTTTTTATTCGCGTTTGCTTATTTTTAATATCCAAAGTGATCGACAAGAACAACATTTTTCTATTGCGTTATAATGTTGTTAAAATTTAGTTAAAATACAAATAACAAAAGTCCAACCCATTTACCGAAGTATGACATTGGTTATGAGATTAACCATAAACTAATTCTAAGCTACCATCCACTGCTAGATCTACCTAAATTATTCAAATTGCCTTTAAAATTTTAATTACAAACTACAAATTATGAGAATTAACTAATACCTTATAAGTGCCTTTTATGACTTTTAGGAATTTTACACTTTTCCTTACCATTGTATTTAATCATATAACATGGAAATAGACACTCATGAAAAGTATTTCTTGATACATCGACTCTTCATGCCTTGTTGCGAAAATTTATAGAACAATTTCCTTTAACGGATTTCTAAAGTTCGTATTAACGCCAACATTTTATCATAACAAATGTAACGTAAGCCTTATGCCACCCACTACGGCTCGTTTAAAAAATCGACCTGTCATATTAATCAGTCAAAATTACTAGTTACTAGCAACTCTACTCTTATCACGGATATATTGGCGTATCAGTACTTGGTAATCACCATTTGCATTGTAGTATCATTATTTTATCGATAATTTAGTCGATATCGCTTTAAAAATATTACATCAGTTCATTGTCTTGTATAGTTATATTTTTTGCACTTATTTAGAGCTGCTTTTTCAAAAAGAAATGTAAAATCGACCATTGTATTTTATTATGAAATATTTAAATAACACTCAATTGATCTCTTATGCCTATATACATTAACGTCTATGTATTGTATAGTATGTTATGGGTATTTTTGTGAAAAAAAAAACAGCAAAACTTCGGTTGTGTGTCATTGTATAAAGCTATGTATATGAATATTTTCATTGATTGACTTTTAGTGGTTCATGAAATGTCGTTCTAATTATATCTTGATATGGTGGGCGGGATACTGAAACAGTGTGGCGTCACCCTATCATTACTTATGTACTTACAGTATTGTATACACCTTAAGTTTGTTTTAGCTCTCATAATCAAATGCATTTATTTAAAAAAAATCTAAGATTCATGCTTAATTACACCATTTTCTATTATCAAGGCAAATGTTTTAGATGTATAATTAATTAACTTGTATTCTAGTTGTTAAATATAATAAATGTTTATTAAATATTATGTTTGTTTTATCTTGTACTGTTTGTGAGTTTGAAATATATATAGTACATCTGGCGCAACTGGCAACAATCGGCGAATACCGTCGATTGGCAAATCCTTTCAGCACGATGGCAAACATGCACAGTTCAGCATGGCGACTATTTTTGACTAAGTTCTAGCACACCACGGAACCGCCATACAACGATCGAAAGTTATTTACCTACCACTACATACAGTAAGGCGCACACCCGCAAATGTGTGCGTGAAGTGGCAGGGTTGCGCATCACTTTCTCGTACGTGGTCAGCGTGGCAACATAGCGAAAATCCTACCGCGAATGTGTTATCCATAATTCTATTAATAGCATACTAATAATAATTACACGTGTTCATTAGGTATTTATAGCAATATAATAAAGATTATATTTTTCATTAATTCACTGACTAGTATAATCCTGAAGGTTTATTTAAAAAAAAAAAATTTGTAAGCACCTGAAATATTATAATTTGGACAGGTACTTTTAAATAACGTAACCAAGGTATTTGAAATTGCGTGTTCAACTTTATCATTACTTAGTTAATAATTATATTCACTACATATTTATCGACAATGCTACCCTTGTCTACTATATTACATCTCATTATATTGATATAATAAATCTGTATTATATATTATTTTGCACCAAATAAATTAAGAAAACAATAACTAAAAGCGTCTCAGACATAAGTTTTTTTACTTTCTTCGTTCCATCTTCCGGAAAACAAACGAAACTCATCTTTTTATCCCGTTTAGATGATGTAAACAGCCTTACACCGCACAACTCGCGACCGTTATAAATAGTAACGTAACAGTGATGTTATATATTAGCGTACAAGCTTCCTAAAGAATAATTGAAAACTATATTCAAATATTAAAACCGTCTTAACGAGAAAACGGGTCGCCGACAGCCTTTTTTACTGTTCAATCAATGTGACTATCAATGTCCGGGGCGTGGTGCGGTATCTAAAGCTACTACGATACCAGGCGGTCATTACGAGAGAAAATTAACCTAAACACGTACATGGAGGTGAAAATATAGTTGCCCGCCGTATGCAGTCGTGCGGAACCGAATGCTAGGGTTGTACAAGGATTGTAATGTAAATAAGACTTGGTTGAGCGCTTGCACTGTCAGGTGCAACACTCAACATACACTCAGCGGTAGGCACTTATCGAGCGAGTGACGGAGCCGTGCCCTTGTTATTTGGGCGTGGACGCCTGCGGGTCGATATAGGTGCATCACTTTGGGAATCATTGCACTAAAGTATACAAACAAGATACACGTGATTGAAATAATTAACATTTCAAAATATGAATATAGCATATCTACAATATATAATTGAGGCTCAACAAACTCATTTTTTAACTGAAAACTACAGATACTAATAAGATACAATTTTGTCAGTTTGCACATATATCATGTGTGGCCCCTGGTACCTAGTAGTTTGCAAAAGCGTTAATACCATCAAAGGCGCACCGTAATGTTTAATACAAGTTATAAAGCATTCATTTGCGATTAGACAATTATAAAATGAATTGAAATAAATTTAATTGAGCAGATTAGATTAATTAATACGTTTCGATTACCCAACTATATTATTTTCTGTACATTTTAAGAATTATTTATTGATAATCGGTGATCGTATTAAGATACTAATACCTAAGTTCTACAAATCGCACTTAACAAGTAACTTAGTATTATCTCAAAAATTGCGTTATACTATATTTTATCTCAAAATTGCGTTATATTAATATTTATCTCCAAATTTTCGTTATATTAATGTGTCATTCATATACGATTTAATTTCAAGGTGACAAGACAACACTGTCGCTTTGAAACTAAACAGGTAATATTAATATAACTTAAAGCCATTTTGAGATAATACTATGTTAGTTGTCATGTGCGAAATATATAAGCTGTAAATGGTATACTTGCACTTATATTGTCCCCAATGATTGAAATTCGAGTGCAAATAGTAAAAATAAATGTTGAGAAGCAATAGCCATTTACTCTGCTTGTGCCGCGAGTGACGTAGGCTCTTTGGAGGCGTCACGTCAGTCGGCCGCGAGCTGCGCAAGACCTGGCGCCCGTGTGCGCCGCAAACCATAGGTAAAGCCAGCACTGGAAGTGCTATATAACCTTTGCTGCACTTTTTGTAAAAAAATGTTGAATTGATTTTGATAGAAGAATTTTATAATAGTCACTAACCTAAACAACACAAGTTTGTATAGAACTACACTTTTTTTAAATTAACCTATAATATCCCACTGCTGAGCAAAGCTCTCCCCCAAAATCCTCAATTGTTCCCTGTCTTTGGCGATCTCCTACCACTCCCTCTCAAAATCGTCAAGATCGTCCCGCCGACGCCACCTGACCGCCTCTTTCCATCCTCGGGCACCCAAGGAGTAACTATGTTCTCCCACTTCTCGGGTTGCATCCGGCTAACGTGACACGCCCAATCCCATTTGAGCCTGGCTGTTTTGCTTCCCACATCAGCAATGCCAGCCATCGAATGTAGCATTGTATTGCGTACTCAGTCAATACGTTTGAAGCTCAGAATGCTGCGTTCCATCACCCTCTGGCAGATATTGAGTTTAGACCTCTGGAACTGGATCAGTGACCATGTCTGTGTACCATAGGTTAAAATGGGAAGGATGCATATATCGATGAGTTGGCGCTTGAAATGCATAGCTGCCGTCCGCCAACTAAAACGCGGCAAAAACTAAAAGTGACAAATGGTCAAATATCCATTTTAAATAGCTAAATTCT